AAAAAAAAAACATAGTCAAGCCGAAACAATACTTTACCAACTTGACACCTATAGCTTAAGTGCATAACCATGAGATGGAAGCTTAAATGCTAACAAAAAAAATTTCCTTTGGTCTCTTAGACTAAACGAAAGATAATAAATCCTCGAAAGCATAACGTAGTAGAAACCATGCATAAACTCTTTCAATCAAATGCTGGAGTTACTCTAGAAGTGCTGTTTCATCTCTTCATTCTTTTTCCTAAGTTCTTTTATTTCCATTTTCCTCTTGGAGAGAAGTTCTCCTCTATATGGTCTTCATTAAAGAACTACCAAATCTTAACAATTAAGTAAGACTCAATTTGAATAGACCCTCCTGTCCTGTCTCCTGGCCTAAAAAGTAAACAGAAATTGTAAAAGCGAAACAATAAAAGAGGAAGGATTGCATAATTGGCATGCATGATTTCTGTAAAATACAGGAGCGTATGGAAGGGAGAAAGAAAAGGATATAAAAAAAAGGAAAAAATTAAAATCAGAGTGAAGTTGGGCGGCAGACTTACAGAATTTGTAATTGAGGCATTTTAGCTAAGTAAGAAGGAATCTTCCCAGATATATTGCAGTTCCTTAACATCCTGCAATCACAAATTAGCTTCAGAAAAGGAAATAAAAAATGCTTTCTATCAACTAGGGAATTAAACTAGTCGAACCATTAATGCTTAAATTCAAATTTCAAGAGATTACTCACAATCTACTTAGGCCTGTCATGTTCTCAAGCGGTGGAAATTCTGAAGCACTTCCAGTCAAGTCACTGATTATTCTGTAAAGTCATCTTATTAAGATTAAATTCTAACCAAATAAAAACAAAAACCATAATAAGCAACTAAAGAAAGTATGCAGCATAGAAAAACAACTCACAATTCAGACATTCCGGTCAAGACAGAAATGCTTTGAGATACAGGTCCTTCAAAACCAGAAGCTTGAATCTCTCTGTTAACCAAGCATAAAGTTTGATCCAACTAAAATATATGTAGAAATACAAACGTTTAACAACTAGTGTAAAAATGCTTACAATTTCTGTAGGTTTTTAAAACTCTCAAAGCTAGGAAGTTTTCCAGTAAAGTTGTTACCGCTCAACCTACTGCATTGGTGCCAAAAATGAAAAACAATTGAGAACTTAGACAAACAGGAATAGAATAAGACCTAGAGAAAATTATTTCAAAAGTATATTCTGAGGTACTCACAGTTCTAATAAGTTTGTGAGTTTATTGAGTTCCACTGGCAACTTACCTGTGAGATTATTAAAACTAAGAGTGCTGCACAAAGCAACTAACTTGTCAAATTGTTGTAAAAACACAAATTTCATCTAAAGAAGGATTGTTCAGAAGGCCTTACAGATTCTGCAAATTAACCATGTTTCCGAGTTCTTTTGGAATAGTTCCACTAAACATGTTATTTTCCAAACTCCTGAAAGTTTTGAACTCCAATTCAATGAATGTTAAATCAAAAAATAAAGACTACTTATCATTGTGAGTGTCAAGAGGACATACATATAAAGTAGTGCAGTCATGTTTTCCAAGTATTTTGGAATTGGTCCAGAGAGTTGATTCACCAGAACAGACCTGAAACCCATTTATTCTTGATAGTTTAAATTAAAGGAACCCTTTTTGTGTTATGCCTAAAGTATTAAGTGCAATTCAGGTACAGCTCACATATATTCCACTTTGGTAGATGCCCATTCAGGGGGAATAGTACCACTTAAATAATTGCGAGCGAGATCACTGCAGGTCAGACATCGACAATACAATTTCTCAGGCAAAGGATAATCATTTTCATAATTGTTCCAGATAAAACTATTTGGCAACACTCCAACAAGTTTTGCAAACATAGATTCAAGTCAGTTAACAGTACATTTTCTTGAGATAAGGTAACTTCACCAGGGAGGGAGGGAGAACACCTGCAAGATCTTGCCCTTTGAGTAATCTGTTAACATTATAAGAAAAGTTATCAAAACTATAAAACAGATATTAGTAAAAAAGCCTGTTTGCTTTTCGTAATACAGAAGCAGTGATTGTTTAGTAGTTCAAAAGGTTCATTTCCCCATGTAGTAAGCAAACTGTTCCCAGAAAAATTGATTCCAAACAAATAGGCCCCTATATCTTTCTTTTTAGACAAAAAGAAAGTCAGTTCTTAGTCAACCACATCTTTTATCTTGTCAATTTTAATCTACACTTTTAAAAACCAAGCTTCTTCCTCTTTCTTCTTCTTCCCTGGCTTCCTTTTCCACATTTTCTTGAGGGCCTATCGAACCTCACCAGGTAGGGGTAGGGGTAAGGGTAGGGGTGGTAAACGGGCGGGCGGATCGGATATGGGTTGGGTCGAAAACACGTTATGCAAAAAACGGATAAATAATCCGATCTGACCCATATTTAATACGAATTTGGGTTAACCGGCGGATAATATGAATATCTATATTATCTGTGGCTTCTTGAATAAGCACTTTTGGGAGAATTTCTAGTCACTCCAGCTTTTGAATTTAAAATTTAAACTCATTAGTTATCTATTTTCTAAATGGATAATATGGTTCTTATCCATATTTGACCTATTTTTAAATAGTTCATTATCCAACTCATTTTTTTAGTGGATAATATGAGTGGATAACTGTTTTATTTTAGCTATTTTGCCACCTCTAGGTAGGGGTAAGGTCAGAGTACAGACCCCACTTGTGTGATTATACTCGTTATGTTATTGGTTGTTGTTGTACATTTAGAAACCAGGCCCTAGCTGTTATTGTTCTATTGTCCTTTTTTCATCTTCTTGAGCCAATGGTCTATCGAAAAAAATATCTCTAGCCCTCCAAAGTAGGGATAAGGTTTGAAGACACAGTACACTCCTCAAACCCTACTATTGGAATTACACTGAGTTGTGTTAGAAACCGGGCCCTAGACTTATACTGAGACAATCAGCACATCCCTCAACCAATGTGTAACAACTTACCAGGAATTGAAGGTGATTCTGGAGTAACGTTTTCCGGCCGACCAAAAGCACTTATAGTGAAGAAACTGAAGGCAGATAACTAAAAAGAGGCAGAGGAAGAAGGCTCACATGCTTTCTACATGACAGAAACCATTATTGGGGATAGAGCAATTGCAGGTCACATTATTTTGATACGTTGACGTATTGTCAGTTGGCGTGTTCCAATTTGTGTTACCAACATCACAAGGATTCGCATCAAAATCCCAGCCTTTTTTTCCCAACTGTTCCGCTATTTCTTTAAGAGCATTCTCTGCAAAATCATAAAAGTTGTATACAGTTTTGTTTTTATTTAAAAAGCAATCATAATAACATATAGAAGCTCCAATAAAAGAAAATGAGACCTTACTTTCTTGTTGAGGAAGAAGGCGACTGTATGTTAGGACTAAGCTGAAGGTGATCATAAGTAGCAAAATACTGAAAGGTGACGCCCACATCTTCTCTAACATGCAAAAGTGGAAGTGAATATTGTATTACTGAACAGTTACCTGATTTCTTCATATATAGAGAGGAATGAGATATATACATATACTAGGAGTGCCATATTATTGGGGGGGAACGGAGAAAGAAGGAATGACAATTCACACTATGACGTTTTGACTGACATGCTTGACAATGATTTTACTACATAATGCATGCATTCATGAGTAACAGTTGGATGTCCCAATCAAGATTTGAGGCAGGGCTGGCCTAATGAACAAGCAACTAAAGCACTTTCTTAGGGCCCCCAAAAATTTTCTAACATATTTGACCATTTTTTTTAACAATATTAAGTATTTGAAAAAAAAATACTAAGTTTCAGGCCGTTGGAGAACAATTGGAAAAGTAATATATTTTTGGGATACATGTCTTATTTACGCGTGAATATTCTAGAATCTTGCCTCATTTATGCACCATCATTATAAGAAATCGATTCTAAACAAATTATTAATAATTTCGCATCTCAAAAAGTTAGAAAAATAAATTTCAAATAAAATTATGAGT